ATGCAGCAGTAATTTGGCTAGATGGGGATTTTTTTTCAACATAAAAAGGCTATTCATTACACAAAGCTACGTTAGTGTAATGTTGTGGCTGTGACTGCAAATGTTATGAAATGCAAAATGAACCAAAAGCCTATGTTCCGTCATCCCCATATCTGAGTGCCTTCTGAGTAGTCAGAAATAAACACGAATAGTAAGAATCTATCTCTTTTTCTTCCTTGTCAGCTTCTAGGAGAAATAGTTTGAGAGAGAGAGAGCATGTTCCCAATAGTTAATGCTATGAGAAAAATAGTATTAGAAAGGCTAGAAAACCTGCTTTAAGATTTAAGACAATCTTTATTAGGGATTAAGATGAGACCTTCGTGTGGACCAGGTTATCCTACATCTGCTCACTGTGGAGATTCTTGCCCCTTCCTCTGAAGCAGAGAGACCGGATACTGGGCCAGATGCACCATGAATCTAATCTTGTCTGGCAATTCCTGTGCAAGTTTTGCCATTGATTTCAGTGAGAGTAGGTTTGGGGTCTGACTGAGGGACCGCAATCAGAGAACCCCGAGCTTTGCATTGGATTCTGCTCCCAGTAAAGTCAGTGGCAAAACTCCCATTGATGCCAATGGGAGATGGATTGTGCCCTTGACCCTTTTAGATAGATCTAGTATTTGTGCTGTGAGAGCTGGTCATATACCATTTGACAAGTACAGCATTCAGTGAATATTGATGACACAAAATGTTGGTCAACCAGTCCCACTATTTGCAGACCTAACCGGTGTTTCAAAATATGCAACAAATATGACCAGCAAAGAAGTGGCAGTTGATGGATTTCTGCAAAGAACCCTGTCACCGTATTGGCATTCTGTTCACGAGGTTCAAGATTAGTCCTTGAAAATGACTAGTGAGTTGAGGACACACATTAGATGTTGAATACATGTATCCAAGCAACCTCAGCAGCCCAGTTTGCCTGCCAGGGATTTGAATAGAAGGATGATGATGATGACGATGCAAGAGGCTTGGATGTTTTGGCTTGCTGATTTGTTTTCCTGGCCCCCCCACTCGCCCTATAATCCCTGTAATCCTCCCACTGAAGTCTTTGATTTCCCATTTAGTTGCTCCAAAGTGCCATTTCAGTTTATTTTAAGAGCAAAAACATGTGAAATAAAAATTAAAAAACGTAAAACACAAGTTCCTCTTATGTGGTGCTGGCAAGGGTCCATTCATTATTTTTGTCCTGTACCGCTGTTCCGTTTTCAGCAGGAGCTAGACAGATCTCTCAGCATTTTACACCATCTATTTTTATAAAAGACCTCCATAAAAGGTAGATGTGTGGCTATTCCAGTCCCTAGTTAATAGCTGTGGGTCACGTTCGGAGTTAGTGTAGGACAATCTGAGGGTATTGGGACACTCCATGTTCTAAAGGACTTAAGGTCATCTAAACAGTCAGCCTGCAAAAGGCAGATAAAACATTGTCCACATCTTTTCACTGTGTATTTTTTCAGTAGAGCATTGACAGAACTAGTCTGAAATCGTGAAGATCACAGTTAGTTTTCCACCATGACTCTTCTTCTCTGGTGCAACACTGCCACCTTGTGGCTATACATGGATCATCTTTTATCTGACTGGTATGCTCAGTTCTCTGACACAGAGCCTCGTGCAAAACCCACTGAAGTCACTTGAGGGACTCTGACTTCAGTAGGCTTTGGGTCAGGCCCTTAGCTTCACTAAGGCAGCAAATAGGATTGATGGGAGGTAGGCAGAGGGCAATTCCAACTTGATGGCAGAAAATCAACGAGCTTTCAGATCTACCCAAGCACTCCTCAGATTTCCTCTGATCTGTCTATCTTGTCTGCATTGCATCATCATGCATTCCAGGCATCAAAATTGTTGCAGTATCTTGGATCTTTTTTTCAGGATCATGTCACGTCATAAAGGAAGCTGTGCAGCTGGGAAACTTTTCTAACCAGGCATATACCCCTACCCCCCCCCCCCCCCCACACACACACACACACACTCACACCACACCCAACACCTTGAATTCTATTAAGCAGTAGTTGAAATCCCAAGTCTTTGGCTCAGCAGGGTAGCAGGTTGATCTGCCTGGCAGAATATGAACTAACCTCACAGGATTTTCAGGCTGCTGGAAATTATGCCAGATCCGCTGGCATAATTCACTGTAGCTCTAGTGACTACAATGGAGTGACATTAATTTACATAAGCTGACTGTCTGGCCCAATGTGCACTCCAGAGCAGATGTGTCCAGTACTGTGCAAGGATTAATAATTCCAGCTTCCAAGGAGTGTGGGTGTGTTTTAGACCAGCCCCAATTGGCCTTACGGCCCCAATTGGCCATCCACGCTTCTCTGCTGGCTGCAGATGTCGAGACAAATTACAACTAAGGAGACTGAGTGGGGGAGTAAAAGTTAAATAAAGATCCTGCCCTTCCAGCCTTACTCCAAAGGCTGAAGGGTGTGAATAATGGTTTATTGTCTGGTATCTTGGAGTGAGGTTTGCCACCCTGCAAACAACAGCAGAACCCTTCTATGTATATATTAAATTAGAGAATTTTAGATCCAGAGATAGGCTCCCCTGCAGCTTACCCCAAATACCCACAACTACTTGTGCTTTACTGTACCCAATACCTTAAAAAAATCTGAGTCTCATTTCCCACTAAAGCATAAAGAGACATAGCTTAAAATGCTGTCTTTGCATCCCATGCAATCTTAATCCAGGTCCTCAGTGCTATATGAGGTGTACATGAAGGCAGAATTTGATCCTCAATTTGTTTTTTAACATGGGAGGTAGCTTCATTTTAAATACAAGAAAAATGAGGCCCAGACTGGTTAAGTGACTTGCCCAAGGTTACATAGTATCTCAGTGGAGGAGACCTGAATAAAACTTAGACCTGCTCATCATGATATAGGGAATCACTGACCTTCTTAAACAAGACACTGCTTATTAAGAAAACCAACTGCAGATAAACAACCAACCAGGTTTCCACACAATTTGAGTACCTGCTTTGGGTCTCTAGTTTTCTAGGAGCTGCACCCTGCCTGGAACACTATACAGCACACAGAGATATCTAGTGATTGAATAATATACAGGAAGTAAACATATCAGGTACTGGGCACTGCAATTTAAGAAAGATATAGACAAATCAGAGGGTCCAGAGGAGCGCAACAAAACTGATGAAAGGTTTAGAAAATCTGACCTATGAGGAAAGGTTTAAAAGAAAGTGGCCATGTTTAATCTTGAGAAAAGACGAGTGGGTGGGGGGCTGATAACAGGCTTCAAATATGTTAAAGGCTCTTATGAAGAAATTGGTAAGGTTAATGTGACCAGATACTCAACACAATTAATTGTAACGACAAATGGGAAGGAACACAAGCCAAAACAGGGAAAGAACAGGTCAAAGAATATTTAGGTAAATAAGATGTATTCAAGTCAGCAGGACCTGATGAAATTCATCTTAGCAGACTCAAAGAACTAGCTGAAGCAATCTTGGGCTCATTAGCAATTATCTTTGAGAACTCATGAACAATGGGTGAGGTCTCAGAGGACTGGCAAAGAGCAAACATAGTACCTACCTTTAAAAAGAGGAACAAAGAGGAGCCGGGGAATTATGGACCAGTTAGGCTAACACTGTTACCTAGAAAGATACTGAAATAAATTATTGAACAATCAGTTATAGGATAATAGAGTTATAAGGAATAGCCAACATAGGTTTGTCAAGAACAAATCATGCCAAACTAATCTAATTTTCTTCTTTGTCAGGGTTACTGGCCTAGTGGATGGGGGGAATTGATAGACATGGTATATCTTGATTTTTGTAAGGTTTTTGGAACAGTCCCCCAACACATTTGCATAAGCAAATTAGGAAAATGTGGTCTAGATGAAATTATTACAAGGTGCAAGCACAACTGGTTGAAAGATTATTCAAAGAGTAGTTATCAATGGTTTGCAGTCAAACTGGGTAGGCGTATCTGGATCGGATCAGTCCTGGGATCAGTGCTAGTCAATATTTTCACTAATGACTTGGATAACAGAATGTAGAGTATGCTTATAAATTTTACAGGTGACACCAATGTGGAAGGGATTGCAGGCACTTTGGAGGACAGGATTAGAATTCAAAACGACTTTGAATTGGTCTGAAACCAATAAGATGAAATTCAAAAAAGACAAGTGAAAAGTACTTCACGTAGGAAGGAAAAACCAAGTACACAAATACCGAATGGGGCATAACTGGATCACAAAGTGAATATGAGCCAACAATGCGCTGCTATTGTAAAATGGCTAATATTCTGGGGTGTACTAACAGGAATATCCTATGTAAGACATGGGAGATAATTGCTCTGATCTCCTCGATGCTGGTGAGGCCTCAGCTGAAGTACTGTGTCCAGTTCTGGGTGTCACACTTTAGGAAAGATGTGGCCAAATTGGCAAGAGGCCAGAGGAGAGCAACAAAAATGATAAAAGGTTTAGAAAACCTGACCTATGAGGGAAGGTTAAAAAATTGTATCTGTTTAGTCTTGAGAAAAGAAGACTGAGGGGGGACTTGATAACAGTCTTCAAATATATTAAGGGCTGTTACAAAAAGGACAGTGATCAATTGTTCTCCTGTTCACCGAGGACAAGAAGCAATGACCTTCATCTGCAGCAAGGGAGATTTAGATTAGTTATTAGGAAAAACTTGCTAACTATAGGGAGGTTGTGAATTCCCTATCATTTGAGGCTTTTAAGAACATGTTAGACCTGTCAGAGATAATGTGGGTATATGTGGTCCTCCCTCAGCGCAAGGTCCCTTCCAGCTCTACATTTCTATGATTCTGTATCCTTACATTCTTGTTTTCCTGTCAGACATACATTCATAGATTCCGAGGCCAGAAGGGACCGCTGTGATCACAGAACTTTCCCAGACATTGCAATCACATTTTGTTATTATGGAAAACAAACCAGTAAAAAAAAAAAAAAAAAAAAATCATCTGTGCTAACCAGATGTCATTTCTTTCCAGGTTGGGAAGTGGATAACATGGGGCAAACTCATCCAGGTAGGAGGCAGTTCTGTTGGCTTCCAAGCTTTTATACAAGCTTTTTATACTCTAAATTGCTCTGGGTTATGATGTGCCTCAGACTAAAAATTTAGACAGACACCCGTTATTTTTGTACTTCGTAAATATTGGTAGTACAATAGCACTCATGAGGGGAAATAAAAATTTGATGTCTTTTAGAATTAGTTTAATCTAAATGCTAAAATGTCTTACTCAAAATCATATGGTTATTGCATAATACAGGGCAGAACTAAGGTTGTTTAGGTGCCTTAATTGTGCATTTCCATTCATTAACATGTTTGGATTTTCTTTATATTTTATCATAACTCTTATTGTCTTGGATTTATACCGCTTGATTTTGGGATACATTACAGGGATGTCGTGGGTATTTTATCCTAAATTACTGATCTGCACTCTCAACGTTAACTCCATCTTATTGTAGATTTTTAAATGTGTGTGTGTGTGTGTGTAAACTTTAGCATAAGTATGTTCGTCATTCAAACTAGAGGGTGAACCCATATTTGCAATTTCACCTTTCCCAAAGGCAAAACAAAACAGGCCACTTATTTAGGACCTGATCCAAATACCCTGGAAATCAGAAAGGAGACTTTCCTGGACATTGGATCAAACCCATATTGTAGAAGCTGTAAACAAAATGTCCTCACTATATTTCTGGTTTTGTAGGTGATTTTGACCTATTGGATAGCACAGGCCAAACTCCCTTAGGTAAGGAAAAGAAACAAGGATGTTTTATTTATTTTTACGCTGTTCTAAAGGAATAACCCAGCTTTCTCTCCTGCCAGCTGGAAGTTATTTTTCAGATGAATTCTAATTATAGTGCCATGCTTAGTTATGCGTTACTTTTAGCAACATTATGAAGATCCATCATTGAATGTTACAGTCTAACAAGGATATAATTATAAATTATATTTACTACTGTAACAATAATTACTGAATGGTGTAGAAGAAACCCAACAGTGTGATTTAGTAGCTATTTCTGCAGAGACCTGGGAGCTGGTGTGCAACAATAACGTACTGAAATTCAGCAAATAATAGAATGCTCACAGAAGAATGCACTGGTTCAATAGGTGCGTTCTGTTCCATGTATGGATGAATGACATGACTACATGTCAGTGGCACTGACCTTATTTTTTCTGTGCTGCCTAACAAAATTGCTCTAAAAATGAAAAATACCGAGCGGCAGAAAATCCTCATGCAAAAGCTGAAATTGGAATCAATTCTGGTTAAGGTTCAATCCAAATAGAAGAAACTGGAATGGCTCAATAAATAGAAAGCATTCTACAGTTCTGGCTTACAGGGCATTCAGAGAAGAATTCAGTGCACCCACGTGCACTGGTCTAATTTTTCAGTGTAGTCACAAGAGCTACTACTGTGAAACAGCCGTGTGCTGGTAGAGTGTTCTGGGTAATCAGAGATGTGAACAAGCATGTTAACCATCCTTCTTGGCTTCAGAATCCTCCTCTTAAACATTTCCATAACTGCAGTCTTTGGACTGAAGCTAAGGTTTAAGTTACATTGTTGTCAGGCCAGGAAATGTGTGGTAATGCTCCAGTCAGTAAAGGAAGATGTGTCCTGCTGTTTGGTTTGGCAATGGCATTTCCCTTGTGACCTATTTTACATGATGCTTGTGTCCATTCCAGATGTAGGGGACATCAGCAGAAACTGCACAGAGGATGGCTGGTCTGAACCTTTCCCTCATTATTATGATGCCTGCGGGTTTGATGAAAATGAAACAGAGTCTGAAAATCAGGTAGGAACCCTTTAAAATGAGGAGCAAGTGAAGAACAGTGCACACATGTTAATTGTTTGATTCAGGGCTGATCCATACAACATTCTCTGTTATTCATATCCATAAATATGAGTTCTAAAGCGGCAGGGCTTTGCTTGTAGTCTAGCATTACACTGCATATTTCCATAATATTAATACATACCGCTTATGCAGCATGTGGCTCTTATAAACATTAGTTAATTAATCCTTACAGTTGACTATGGCATATAGTCTGCCCTAAAGTAAGCTGCTATGCCTTTAAACAACGTAGGAAGTAGTGATTGCAATCATAAAAATCTAGTTTTTGCCCCACACATTATCAGTCACCTCAGTAAGGCATTAAGCCACAGACAGACCCAAACCTATGCTAACCGTGGTCATTATATATGGCACGGGAAAAGTACATGAAGACATCATGTATGAGCCCAGCCCTGTTCATGTTTCTCATCCAAGCAGTCCCATTAAGAGCTGAGGTGAGTGGAATTACTCCCCTGAGTGAGGTGAGCAAGATCTGGCCCTACGTGACAGTACTGTTGGTGACCATGTCCTGTTTGTTTCTCAAGGATTACTACTACCTCTCTGTGAAGGCTCTGTACACAGTGGGATACAGCACTTCCCTTGTATCCCTCACCACAGCAATGGTTATCCTGTGTCGTTTCAGGTGAGTCACCAGGAATGAGTTGTCACTCATCTCAGTAGGGGGGACGAAAGATCAGGGTCCAGGGAACCAAAAAAAAAATCAAGTCCTTGACCTCAGGAGTTACAAAAATAAGACGTCCCTTAAAAATCAGATCTTTCCAATGGGTGTTGTCATTGATTCTTGGTTTTGTTCATTTTTCAGTGCACATGAGATTGGAATTTCCAAAGCACTCAGGATTGGCCTAACTCTGGTCTGTCTTAGGTACTTATCTGGCACCTGTTTCCATAGCATCTGAACACTTTGTGATCTTTTAACATATTTATCCTCTCAATATCCCTGGGAAATAGGACAGTGCTATCATACCCATTTTACAAATGGGAAAATGAGACACAGAGAAACTTAATGACTTACCTTAGGTCACCATCGTTCCTCTCTCAAATCACTGATTAATGAAATCTTGAAGTCAATGGTAAAATGGCCTACCTCTGTTCCTAGGTAAATGGGTAAATGGGACTATTACTATCAACTTCAATGAGAACAGTTAGGTTGAGCACTTTTGAAGGTGCTGCCCATGAAGTCTTCATGGAAAGTTCTATAGGAACCAACTCTCACACCTGTGTACGCGCTGTCCAGGAAAATTAGGCACAGACATTATCAAGGTTCTCATGAGTATCATCTCTTAAACCAGGAAAGCAAAATTCCCCGCTGTCTAAAAACCTAAACCTACAATGCAAAGATTAAAAACTGAATCCAAAATTTTGATTAAAATTCAATAAGAGATGCCAGCATTAGAGCAAATGCATTTAAAAATCTTCCATAGACCTAAAATATTTTTTGTCACACAATGCACAGTTAGCCAGTAGAATTCATTGTCACATGATATCATCAAGGCCACGAGATCAGTAAGATATAAAAAAATGCCGAGGTCTCCCAGCCCCATGGAAAGCACAGAATACTGTTTCCTGAGTTGCTGGATTGGCTCTGATCACATGTGCTCAAACTCCAGGTGTTCAGACATGAAACAACCAGTCTGGATGTTGTATTCTTAAGAGAGAAATCAATCATCCACCCTCATTTCCTCTCTCCTTTTTCTAGGAAGCTTCACTGCACTCGGAACTTTATTCACATGAACCTCTTTGTTTCATTTATTCTACGAGCAATATCAGTCTTCATCAAAGACGGGATTTTGTATGCAGAACAGGACAGCAACCATTGTTTTATATCTACTGTAAGTAGAACCAAGGCCGAAGTCCGTTGTTTTTCTCTAAGGAGATAATGATTGTTACTATCTGTATTAATAGTTGGGGATTGGTCCTGCTCTGAGCAGGGGGTTGGACTAGGTGACCTCCTCAGGTCTTTTCCAACCCTGATCTTCTGTGATTCTATTGCAGTTGGTCCTGGATGTGCCACCTGAGGTCTGTCCTTCATTGCCCTTGACTCATACAAATGCATAGTAACAGAGAATCCAAACCTGGATCACGATCAGCTTCCAGTGTAAACAGATGAGACTTATACAGCACCTAGCACAATAATGTCTTGGTCTATGACTGGGGCTCTTAGGCGCTACAAATAGTAGTACAAGTAATTTTAATAACAGTAAACAGTGAGCAAAAGAGATGTCCTATGAAAACAGAGTGATGACGGTTTGCAAACATCCTGTTACTTCCATGATGTGAGACCTTTTTGGTTGCTTTTGCTTATTAACGTTATTGTTATTCACACACCCATATTGTGAGTTTGGGTCCTGGGATAGGAGTGTGGTAAGGAGGGAAGGCAGAAAGTGAACAGCTGAAAGGAAAGACAAAGGGAAGAGAATGAGTTCAAGGCAGTCTGAGGGGAGGCAGGAATAAAAGAGAGAGGGAAGCCTGGATTAAGGCTGAAGTGAACTATGAGGGAGGGAGTTGGCGCAAACAGCCAATCATCACAAGGGAGATGGCTATTAGCCAGGATGGGCAGGGACTGTGTCCCGAGCCTCTGTTTGCCAGAAGCTGGGAATGAGTGACAGGGGATGGATCACTTGATGATTACCTGTTCTGTTCATTCCTTCCAGGGCACCTGGCACTGGCCACTGTCAAAAGACAGGATACTGGGCTGGATGGACCCTTGGTCTGACCCAGAAGGGCCATTCTTATGTCCAGAAAGCATAGTCTGATGCCATCAGTAGAGTCGAGAATTCACTGCTGTAGCTCAAGCCTGGCTCCATCCAGGCAGTTTCTCCATTTCCCAAGCCTGCATGGCTAGAAGAGGATGGGGCGGAGGGGCACAAGAGAGCAAGTGCCCCCAGATGAAGGATGGGGGTCTTTTTTGAACACATCTGGGTTTGGGGAAGAAAGAAGATTGTTCTAACAGAGATTTAAAAATATCCTAGATCTTCAAACCAGGGCCATAATCAGGACACGGCGAACGGGGCAGCAGCCCAGGGCGCAAGGCCACAGGGGTGGAAACAGATTGGGATGGGGGAACGGTAGGGGATGCAAATATGCTTGCTTGCCCTGGGTGCTAAAATGCCTAGTTACAGCTCTGCTTCACACCTCATGGTCTCTAGAATACCCCAGTAAAGTTCAATTAGTGACGGTAGTTTGTTTACCTCAGTGCAGCAACATAGGGTCATGCCTGCAGTGCCCTGCTGTAGGGGTCACTGAATGGTAGCAGGTGAACAACTTGGTCGGTACCTTGACATTTGGATACTTGGCTAAACTTCCTGGCTCTACTGACAGTGCTGGGGGCTTTCTTGTGAGATTTCAAGTACTTCTGGCTTCCAGCTGGGCAAATGGTCCTTGGCGAGCAGCCTCTTTTGTTGCACTCTAAGACTAAAAAGAGCATAGGTGTGTAACAATAACATACATATATATTTTAAAAAATATATCTCAACTTTTTTGACCCTCAGGAAAAGTTCAGTTTGTTTGGCTCAATTTTATGGGTAATTTTTGATCTGGTTCTTACTTTATCCAAACCCACCATCATTCTGATGAACATCTAGAGGAGCTGCTAAACTGAGGTCTCTCTTGCCCATCCAGTTGTGATGTAAAGTCCCAGGATTCTTTTCCAAAGGAAAACACTGATACTCTACTTTCTTCGTCAGCCTTTTCTTTCTCACTTAAATAGATTCCAGTATGGCTATACTTTGAGCTGGCGGTGTAATTTCCAGCTCAGAGACATTAGATCAGATTGAATTTGACAAATGGTTTTGGTTGACATTTTTTTTTAGAGCGATTAAACATTTTGTTTTGACCATTTCATTTTGAAACGTTTTGTTTTGACTTGTTGACTCAAAGTGGCATTTCAAATTAATTTTGGGCAATTAAAAAAAAAAGGCAAAAAAATGAGGGGAAACCACCATAGATGTCCAATTAAAAATGAAATACTCGACCAAAAAATTAACAACATAGTTTTGAGGCCACCGAAAACATTTTGAGTTGACTGAAATTTTTGGGGGGCATTTTCGATTTGGTGAAAACTTTGTGAAAAAACAATTTGGGTTCCAATCAAACCAGAATTTTTTTTAAAAAATTTGGTTCAGCCTTCCCAAACTGAAAATCCATTAACTCAGCCCTACCTGAGTAGTTTCAAAGTTTCCATGAACCTCAAATCACAAGTGATGAGTCCCACAGATCCTACAGTCTGGTGGCCGGATCTTTGGCTGACATAAAAGGGTGTAGCTCCATTGAAGTGAATGGCGCTATGCCAATTTACACTAGCTAAGGATGTGTTCAGGGGATGGAATGTAAATGGGAGGGAACCAGGTGTCTCCTCCTCCCCAAGCTCCAGGGATGAGCTTCCAGTGTTCAGGGCTATTCTGTGATGCCATTTTGTGAGTGGGTGATGTTGCAGATTCAATATCATCCTGTTGACATGCAACATTGCAAAGACAAGTCTGCCAAACGCAATGTCTGTGTAGGGGTCAGCAGACTCCACCAGAGCTTGATAGAGTGGATTTGTAGTTTTGTCTAAAACTTTTCCCCATTTGCTTCGTATGGTAAATCACTCAGCTTTCTTCAAACTTATCCTCAATTTTCATTTCCTGACACGGAATGACAGCTTCCACCAAATTGCATTGAAGTAAAATTCTGAAGTTTGCACAGTAGGGTGCATCCTTTATGAGCCTCTTAGCAATCTCAGGCCTTTCCACACTTTTACTTCTATTTAAAACCCTTCCTTAGATTTCTCTATACAAAACCAGATTCTTTTTCTTACCTGCACTTAAGGCAGGGAGAACTATAATCTAGCAATTAGCTGCCATTGTTGGCATACACCTTACTACTAGGAGAAGTTCTTAAGCTGCCTGAAAGCACTCATAAAATACCACCTAACTGCTAAAATTGGTTTTCTACCCTTTAGAGCTGCACTCTTAAAGTGAAAAGAAAAGGAGGACTTGTGGCACCTTAGAGACTAACCAATTTATTTGAGCATAAGCTTTCGTGAGCTACAGCTCACTTCATTGGATGCATACTGTGGAAAATACAGAAGATGTTTTTATATACACAAACCATGAAAATATGGGTGTTTATCACTACAAAAGGTTTTCTCTCCCCCCACCCCACTCTCCTGCTGGTAATAGCTTATCTAAAGTGATCACTCTCCTTACAATGTGTATGATAATCAAGGTGGGCCATTTCCAGCACAAATCCAGGGTTTCTCCCCCCCCCCCCAACAAACCCACTCTCCTGTTGGCAACAGCTTATCTAAAGTGATCACTCTCCTTACAATGTGTATGATAATCGACATGGGCCATTTCCAGCACAAATCCAGGTTTTCTCCCCCCCCCCACACACACACACAAACCCACTCTCCTGTTGGTAATAGCTTATCCAAAGCGATCATTCTCCTTAGAATGTGCACGATAACCAAGGTGGGCCACTTTCAGCACAAATCCAGGGTTTAACAAGAACGTCTGAGGAACAGTGTGTGTGTGTGTGTGTGTTAGGAAAAAATAAGGGGAAATAGGTGCAAGGTACCCCCCCGCCCCCGTTCCTCAGATGTTCTTGTTAAACCCTGGATTTGTGCTGGAAGTGGCCCACCTTGGTTATCGTGCACATTCTAAGGAGAGTGATCGCTTTGGATAAGCTATTACCAGCAGGAGAGTAGGGTGGGGGGAGAGAAAACCTTTTGTAGTGATAAACACCCATTTTTTCATGGTTTGTGTGTATCAAAACATCTTCTGTATTTCCCACAGTATGCATCCAATGAAGTGAGCTGTAGCTCACAAAAGCTTATGCTCAAATAAATTGGTTAGTCTCTAAGGTGCCACAAGTACTCCTTTTCTTTTTGCAAATACAGACTAACACGGCTGTTACTCTGAACTCTTAAAGTGGCTTGTAACAGTTTTCATAAACTCTTTAGATGTACATATTATAAAATAAAAGGCCAGATTGTTTTTACTTGTTGTTTAGAGGATTTCGGGATCTGTGTCTAGTTCTCATATCCCCATCAAACATGGGTGAAACAGCAAAATAACTTTATTTGTGCTTGCTTTTTTGTAGGTGGAATGCAAAGCAGTGATGGTCTTTTTCCACTATTGTGTCATGTCCAACTATTTCTGGCTGTTCATTGAGGGATTGTACCTTTTCACCTTACTCGTGGAGACCTTTTTCCCAGAGAGGAGATATTTTTATTGGTACACCATCATCGGCTGGGGTAGGTGGCATTTCTTACATGGGCTTTGTTTATTTTTAACCCTGCTGCATGCAAAAGACTTCACTCCCCCTAATTTTATCTTGAAATGAGGAGTTGAATGAGAACAAGTGAATGAGTGTAATCAAAGCAGAAGCCACCTGGTATTTTCAGTCACCAGCTCCAGGCACTTGCATTTCTATGCTCTCCATGTGTTTGCGTGTACAAGTGTGTGTGGCATGTAATCTAAAAGGAGGACTTCCTTACCTCCCACCCCAAAGCCCCGGCATCACAACCATCTTCCTTGCCCAATTTGAGATGAATGAGACCTGCTTTTGGGGCTCCTCAGCAGTGCTCATAAGCCAGTCATATGGTTGGCTGTAGAACCGTGGAGATCCAAACGTCTTTCTTTCTGAAGAAAATCAACATGCCTCTTGTAGCACTCCAAGAAGTGTTTTAATAGTCAAAAAAGAAGCAAACCAGACAACCTGCACTTCTCCATTATATGTGGATTAAGTGATGTAAGTTTTTTTTTTCTCCTCCCACTGGTATTACAGATATCAGTATTGCCATTATAAACCAAACTGCTTCTATTACCAGCAGGAGAGTGAGTTTGTGTGTGTGTGGGGAGGGGGGAGCGGAGGGTGAGAAAACCTGGATTTGTGCTGGAAATGACCCAACTTGATGATCACTTTAGATAAGCTATTACCAGCAGGACAGTGGGGTGGGAGGAGGTATTGTTTCATGGTCTCTCTGTGTGTATAATGTCTTCTGCAGTTTCCACGGTATGCATCCGATGAAGTGAGCTGTAGCTCACGAAAGCTCATGCTCAAATAAATTGGTTAGTCTCTAAAGTGCCACAAGTACTCCTTTTCTTTTTGCGAATACAGACTAACACGGCTGTTACTCTGAAACCTTCTTCTTGTCTCCCAGTCTAGCCATACCCGCATTAAAATAAGGACGATATTGCATCACTTGCGAGCATATGGTTTCCTTTAGAGGATTTCTCTTTGCAAGAAGAGTTCTTAATGTTCTTAACAGGAACTTTTCTGCTTATACAAATCAGAAAAATAGCCGCTCTGGTTCATTCCTTGAGGCTACAGTCATGTCTGAAAGATGATGACTGAGTGGAAAGCATCTCTAAGTAAGACTCGCTTCACAATCCAGAAGTGGATAGGTAAATAAGAGCTGGTTATCTTGGAAAGAAACAAACCGTGCTTTAGAGAATCCTGTGATGATATGTAATGTGCTTATTTTGGATGTGAAACTTCTGGGGCCAAATTCATGTTAATCAGACAGTATGTAATTGAAATTTTGGCTATGAATCCAAGATGTCAGACACAGGAGAAACCATTGATTGCAGCTGCTTGTCTCAGGTTTAATCGCATGGTCTCAAGGTTAGGCCCAATGTTTTATGTTTTGTAAAACAAGTTCCCTTCAAAACTGATCATGGATAGAAATAACTTCTTGGAGTAATTTAAAAAAAACAGCAAAAGAAATCTGAAAACATTTACAGCTCTGGTTCTTCTGATTTGTATTATTTTAGCACTTACGAGCCCCAATAGGATTCAGGGCTCCATTGTGCTAGGCCCCGTATATACGCATAGGAGACAGCTCCTGCTATGAAGATCATGCACTCTAAACAGATAAAGAGTGGGAGGGGAAACAGAGCCACAGAAAGATGAAGTGAGAAAGCCAGGTATAGAACTCTTGTCTTTGCAGGCCTAAACCAACACCCTAGCCACTCAACCACGCTGCTTCTCAGCTAAGCTGTTATCTAATCTAAAAGAGCAGGGCTCTGTGCCTAGGCAGAGCCCACTGAGTTTAATGACACTCCATGCAGGCGTAAAGCTCTATCCCCATAGATCTGCTTGCAGGATCTTCTAGGCCTATGTCTGTTAGCGCATCTGAATATAGTGTTCAATATGAGAACAATATAAGACAGCATACAGACACACTGACAAAGGGATTGTCCGTCTATATAATTAAAGAACTACCTAGATGTGTAACCAGACCATAGTGCAACCCTGTCTCAGGTGAATATTTGATTTCAGGATCATAAGTTCCCCAGAGCAAAAGATGTCCAACGCTTCAAGGTGCATGGAGCTGCATGCATAGGAGCTGAAGGGGGGTCAGCACTCTGCAGGGCTGAGGTCTTCACCAGTGTTTTGGAGGGCCCCAAGTGCATTGTCAGCACTTAGCATAAAATTAATGCAGTTACAAACGTGGATACTTTTCTGAACTATTCAGTCCTCTTAGCCCTGCAAAATAGGACTGATAATTTCAGGAAAGATCCTATCTTCTCATAAGATTTCTTGTAATTTCTGCTCCTGGTAAGGGAAGAAATTCTCTCTGCAAGAATGGGCCTTTCAGCAGCATTTTGATGCTGCTTTTATTCTGACCTTGCCATATCAACCATATCAACACACACACAAACACCAGATGCATAGAAATAAACAGCAGTGCATTCATCATTTCAATGAAAATCCATGTGTCATGGAGCTGGCTCAAGAGATGTAGGTCAGGCTTGACAAAGCCCTGGCTGGGATGATTTAGTTGGGGATTAGGTCCTGCTTTGAGCAGGGGGTTTGGACTAGATGACCTCCTGAGGTCCTTTCCAACCCTGATATTCGATGATTCTATGACTCTGTGTATCCACAAGTACTTGGCTCCGGCGGAATCACAGAGCTCCTCTGGCCAGAGCAGGAGCAGGGAGCAAGCTCCTCCGGTCCTGACGCTTGAAGAGGTTGCGCGCTCTCTCACCTCTGAGGTCCCGTGGCTGGAAGAGCTGTTAGCTCCCACTGCGGCCCCGGGACCTGCACCCCTGCTTGCCCCCCATCTCCTCCCCGGGCATATCCCTATATGGAAGCGTTGTTTGGATTACATTTGCAATAGATACATTGGGCCCAATTCTGATCTCACACCCACTTTTCATTGTTGTAGCTCCACTGACTTTTTTGCAGTAACTTCTGATTTACACCATTGTAAGCAAGAGACGCAGCAGACCGGTTTGATCTGATCATACTTACAGTTTCATCAGATCTTCATTTTTAATGTAATGTTTTGGTTTGAAATTTTATAAACATCCATTATACACCCAAAGATCCTTGGTCTTTCATAAGCATGAGAATATTAAAATTGGATTCAACTTAACATGCTTTATTTCCTCTCCCCAGAATGTTTATTTTTGTTGCTGTTCAATCTCTCTCTATTTTAACTTTTTAGAATATCCGGGTATGTTCTTCTTTGACAGAGCTCTGCTTTGCTCAAACAAATAGGTTTAGAAAGTGGTATTCTCAATTTTAGTAGCTTCAGGACAGGCCCTGAGAAGATTAATTCTACTTATTAACCAATGTGACACCAACTCAGCTTTGCAAAATATATGAAGCTTACTTGCGGCTGCCAGTCTCACCTCCTGCTACACCCTAGGGTTGTCTACGTCCTTGTGGTTTCTGTCAGTCCCTCTCCTTAATCTTCCCACCAGAGGTTGAATCTTTCATTTGCCCCATTTCAAAAATACAATGCATGCCATTAAAACTCCACATTTGCCTCTGTGCAGCGGTTGCATCCCTCAGCATCTCTAAGTAGAGGAAGATGCCAGGCTTATTTCCAGTGTTTTGTGTGGTGATTGAACAATATCAACAGCACAACAATCTAATCCTGCACCATTCTACGACATTGGCCTGAAACACTATAGACCCCTCCCTGTCGTCATTTATACTCATGAAACCTCACTGAAGTCAACTCACCCTTTTTGGATTCTGACTTGAAGTCCTTACTCGAATGCCAAATCCTTAGAGAGTAAGGGCTGCTAGATTCATTTCAAGAACAATCCTGTTGTAAGCTGTAGGGCTTGGGGTCATTCCTAGCAGCTTTTTTTCCCCTATAAGCCATTGAAATATAAAACCTCCGTGGAGAAAGATTGTGCATCAGATGGAAGTGATGTGCTCTGTGCAAATAAGGATAATAAATAACAATAAACAAATAATGATTTCTCTCTCTTGTCTTTTGTAGGCACCCCAACAATTTGTGTCACTGTCTGGGCTGTACTGAGACTTCACTTTGATGATACCGGGTAGGTACCATTGGGTGAGAAACTCTCCAGTCACCTCATTTTCAAGTGAAGTACAGAAGGGAAGAGGTCTGGTGGTTAGAGTAGGGGAATGTGGGCCAGGAGACCTGGCTTCCGTTCCCAACTCTGCCACTAACTCATTGTATAACTTTGGGCAATTTGCTTAGGCTAAACCAGTGGTTCTCAACTTGCGACCCAATCAGCACAGAGCTGTGGCCCATGTGACATTCTCAGGGCCATACTGGTCGTATTGGATGTGGCCCACATAACACATTGTGGGCTACATATGCGGCCCACAGTGGTAAACAGGTTGAGAACCATTGGGCTAAACCACTGAGTACCTAAGGTTGGACTCCTAAATACCTATTTAAGCACAGAAGTAGACGTGATACAGTATTCTGAGTTGCTGCCCTTTGAAGCCAGTGGGGATTTCAGGTACTCAGCATCTCTGAATATTAGATCCCAACTTCACCAAAGATTAGAGATGTTTGTATCTGAGGTTCTGGCTCAGGTCCGTCTCTCTCAAATTCCCTTCCTAGTGATTCAGTGACTGACTACACGTAAAAACCTCTCTCCATGGAGGATTTGGGTTTTTTTTTTATCCAATGTTCTATTTTGATGATAAAACAAATTAAATCACCTATTTCCATGCAAAACAAGCCAGAAATCCCTGCTGTGTCATTATGATGATTATAGCACTGGTCCTAAAAGCATTAATTGCTTTTAGAAATCCAGATGGCCCCTGTTTTGGGGGAGTAAATATCTCATGGGAGGAAAAACCTTTGCTGCTTTATTTCTGAGAAGTTTATTATCATGCAGTACATGTAGATGGAGTCGAGCTGAGTCTCTCAGTGGCTATTTTATTTTATTTTTTTGAAAGATCAGCTAGGTTTGTTCAAGGGTGGGGAGGAAAAGCCAGCGTGAGTCTGAAAACATTTCAGAAATCATGGGGCGGGGAATCCACCAAGAGAAAGGGTAAGGGCTGAAATTTAAAGACACTGACTTCAACTCCTGATGCAGCCCAGTGTAAGTGAGAAGGGAACTGGGTCTCTAGATGGTGCTGTCTGTCAATCCAGAGTAATACCACTGAAGGGAATGGAGTTACACCAGAGCTCAGAATTTGGCATCTTAAAATGGAAAAGGGCCTTCCCCCGCAATAGAAGAAGTCATGTGGTTCTGGTCTCCACAGCAGCAAGCCACTCTTACCTGTAACAGAGTCTGCCTGGGGAGTGCAGTCTTTAAGTCGATACTTACATGCCCAGCTCTTTTCTCATTGTTTTTCATATTCTAATGTACTCTTACGTCTCTGACTCATAAGAAAGGGAAAAGTGGCTGTTGCTTCCACCCCTTTCATTCTGTGGGAGGCGCACGGGTTGGGCTAAAGTGGTCTTGGGAAATGCACATTTTGCCCTTGTAACTGCTTATGTTAGAAACCAGCCCATGGGCAGTCAGGTTCAGTGGAAGGTGCAAGAGTCATGGCTAGTGGTCAAAGCAGGAACTGGGAAGCAAATCCAGCCCCAGGGCCAAGGCTGGAGTCAGGAACCAGTAGCCATTCCAGGAGTCAGTGCCGGAGCTAAGAGCCAGGCCAAGGGTCAGAGCCAGGATTGGAAGCCAGTAGCCACGCCAAGGGTCAGAACTAGAGTCAAGAACCAGAGTCAGGGTGAGGAAGCTGTAGCCAGGAGCAATCAGAGGTAGTTAGGACTGAGCAGGAACAAGGCTGGGGAACAAGGCAGTAACAGGAGCAATGCTGGAATACGGCAAGGAGCAGCAGGCACAGGGAGGGTCGCAGCTGTGGACATGAATGCACTGAGCCACTAGAGAGCTGATGCTGGGCTAACAGCCAGCCAGTTGCTCTTCCTGACCAGTTAGGTGGGGCAGTTAGTCAGGTAGCCTGCTGCAAGCCAGCTGCACTTGTTGGGGTGCTGGGAAACAGACTGTTCCAGGCCCTGATCCCTGACAGCTTATTCCTTTATGGACAAATTCTTAGCCACAAAATAATGCATATTAACACTGCAAAACTACTGTTAATGATACTGTTAACCAGACATGGTCCCCCGCACAAACCCTCCAGAGCAGGGCTAATCTATGCAGGGTCCTGACAAATTCAGTTTTACAGATCCTGGCTGAAATTTTCACAAGTGCCTGCGTAGCTTAAGAGCACAAGAATCATTGACTTTCCGTGGGACTCTTGCTCTGAAGTCACTTAGGCTCTTTTGAAAATTCCATTCACTGAGTGTGTCAGGGATAAAAATACAGGCCATTGTCTGTGCCTGACCCATTAGACCCTGCCCTAGAATTTCACCCCACATATATATAGTTTTCCTGTCTTAGACAACCTATGGAGTGGTTCATTTGTGGGTATGAGTCAGGACTGATGGGGAAATTTCAGATCTGTGCACCACATACATATGGAAGATGGAATCTGGCTCACAAACATTTCCTCTACTCCCACACATGTACACACAACAAAGGGACCATAGTTTTTAATGTACGGGTTTCTACTCCACCCCACCACCCCCACCCCCAGTGTTTTGCAGGCAGGCATTTGACGTATGTAAAAGGTAAAGATAAACTTTCACAATATTAACATTTTGTTCTTCTGAGTTCTTTTCACTGTGGGTTAGAATCCGACAATACATCACTAGAACCAGGATTTACAGTTGTTATTCCCATGGGGAGGAAAGCTCACAACTTCAAGTGCAAAGCATTTTAGGATGCCTGATGGTGCTAGGAAAAATAAATCTCAATCAGTAACCATGCTTGATTTGTTTTAAAATTGGGAACACTAATCAAAAGCTGTGCAGGGGGGAAAAGGTCAGATGCATGTACAAGAAAAAAAAGTTTGCACTATTTTCCCAATTCTAGAAACACATCCAAGGCCTGAAAACCCAGACATTCTGTTGACCAATTTAGCCCTCAAATGAGTGTTTGTATGTAGTGCTCATGCAGTTCCATAGGTGTCAATTGTGCATATAAAGGCAGAATGCGGATCCAATGGGCAGAAATGCCATTTGCTTTAATGATAGATTGCTGCAGAGGACATTACAACAGTTAAAATAAGAACTGACCTAAACCTTTGCCCAAAACTCAATCTGAACCTTCTAAAATATCACTTTGCTCTTCTGCACAGTAAACCTCAAAACACCCCCTTGAGCTAGTTAAGTGCTCAAATACCCATTTTGCAAACGTGGACTGATGCATACAGACACTTGGGGCCAGATTTTCAAAGGTGCCTAAGGATGCATATCAGTGGCTAGCAGGATTTTTGGCAGTGCCTAAACAGGTGAGGCACCTAACTGTGATTGATTTAAATGGAAGTTAGGTTAAATCTCAAGAGACACCTCTTTGCATATTAAGGTGTCTAAATACCTTTGAACATCTGGCTCAGGTGATGTGGCTAAGGCTGCATAGGGAAGTCAGTGTCAGAGACAGGACTGGGAACTCTTATTTCTTGAGTCAAAGCCTTGTGCTTTAGTTGCAAGACCTTCCTTTCCCTCTTGTGACAAAGTTCCAGTAGAAGAAAATATCAATGTACTGGCGTGCCCTGTGGTCTCTTTATCTCTCTCTCTCTCTCTTTCTTCCCCTGAATCCCCCTTTATTTTTTAATTATTTTAGCTGCTGGGACATGAATGATAACACTGCCCTGTGGTGGGTGATCAAGGGTCCCGTGGTTGGATCAATAATGGTAAGTAACATACGTACAAGATATCTCTTCATGGCTATCAATATGAGCTAAAACTGAATTAAAGCCAATGACTCTACAGGTTGTCACATAGCAGAGGGTGAGGCTGGCTAGAAGTTGCTCTGCCCTAAGCAAATTGGAAAATACCTACTATTATGTAACATGCATGTACCCAAGTATTACTGCTCCCAGGGTTCATAGATACCTTTAGCATGCAGGACCTCTTTCTAGCTCTGGATAGTAAATCATGCACATCTCTTATTGAAGTGATTATTCACTGAAATAAACTACCAAGGGAAGTGGTGGATTCTCTGTCTTCTGGATGCCTTTCTGGAAGATGTGCTTTAGTCAAACACAAGTTATTGGGCTCAATACAGGAATAACGGGAGGAAATTATCTGGCCTGTGTAACACAGGAGGTCAGACCAGATGATCGTCGTTCTCCCTTCTGTCACTAAGCTCTATAAAGCCAATGCAAGTCATATCTGGAGCATCAGGATGGCCCTGTCCTAGGCAGTGTATACTTGCTGTCATAGGCCCACCAGGCTTGCTTTGCCCCTATCAGTTGTACAATCAGTTGCCCACATGCAAAATGGGAAATGACTGCCTAGGAAGGTGCACTGCAGAACGGGATCTGGGGATCATAGAGGACCACAAGCTAAATATGAGTCAACAGTGTAACACTATTGCAAAAAAAAACGAACATCATTCTGGGATGTATTAGCAGGAGTGTTGTAAGCAAGATACGAGAAGTAATGCTTCCGCTCTACTCCACACTGATTAGGCCTCAGCTGGAGTATTGTGTCTAGTTCTGGGCACCACATTTCAGGAAGGATGTGGACAAATTGAAGAAAGTACAGAGAAGAGCAACAAAAATGATTAAAGGTCTAGAAAACATGATCTGTGAGGGACGATTGAAAAAATTGGGTTTGTTTAGTCTGGAAAAGAGAAGACTGAGAAGGGACATCAGGAACAGCCAGCATGGATTCACCAAGGGAAGGTCATGCCTGACTAATCTAATCACCTTTTATGATGAGATTACTGGTTCTGTGGATGAAGGGAAAGCAGTGGATGTATTGTTTCTTGACTTTAGCAAAGCTTTTGACACGGTCTCCCACAGTATTCTTGTCAGCAAGTTAAGGAAGTATGGGCTGGATGAATGCACTGTAAGGTGGGTAAAAAGCTGGCTAGATTGTCGGGCTCAACGGGTAGTGATCAACGGCTCCATGTCTAGTTGGCAGCCGGTATCAAGTGGAGTGCCCCAAGGGTCGGTCCTGGGGCCGGTTTTGTTCAATATCTTCATAAATGATCTGGAGGATGGTGTGGATTGCACTCTCAGCAAATTTGCGGATGATACTAAACTGGGAGGAGTGGTAGATACGCTGGAGGGCAGGGATAGGATACAGAAGGACCTAGACAAATTGGAGGATTGGGCCAAAAGAAATCTGATGAGGTTCAATAAGGATAAGTGCAGGGTCCTGCACTTAGGATGGAAGAATCCAATGCACCGCTACAGACTAGGGACCGAATGGCTAGGCAGCAGTTCTGCGGAAAAGGACCTAGGGGTGACAGTGGACGAGAAGCTGGATATGAGTCAGCAGTGTGCCCTTGTTGCCAAGAAGGCCAATGGCATTTTGGGATGTATAAGTAGGGGCATAGCGAGCAGATCGAGGGACGTGATCGTTCCCCTCTATTCGACATTGGTGAGGCCTCATCTGGAGTACTGTGTCCAGTTTTGGGCCCCACACTTCAAGAAGGATGTGGATAAATTGGAGAGAGTCCAGCGTAGGGCAACAAAAATGATTAGGGGTCTAGAACACATGACTTATGAGGAGAGGCTGAGGGAGCTTGGATTGTTTAGCCTGCGGAAGAGAAGAATGAGGGGGGATTTGATAGCTGCTTTCAACTACCTGAAAGGGGGTTCCAAAGAGGATGGCTCTAGACTGTTCTCAATGGTAGCAGATGACAGAACGAGGAGTAATGGTCTCAAGTTGCAGTGGGGGAGGTTTAGATTGGATATTAGGAAAAACTTTTTCACTAAGAGGGTGGTGAAACACTGGAATGCGTTACCTAGGGAGGTGGTAGAATCTGCTTCCTTAGAGGTTTTTAAGGTCAGGCTTGACAAAGCCCTGGCTGGGATGATTCAACTGGGAATTGGTCCTGCTTCGAGCAGGGGGTTGGACTAGATGACCTTCTGGTGTCCCTTCCAACCCTGATATTCTATGATTCTATGACATGATGACAGTTTTCAAGTACATAATAGGTTGTTACAAGGAGGAGGGAGAAGAATTGTTTTTCTTAACCTCTGAGAAGAGGACAAGAAGCAGTGGGCTTAAATTGCAGCAAGGAAGGTTTAGGTTGGACATTAGGAAAAAATTCCTAAGTGTCAGGGTGGTTAAGCACTGGAATAAATTGCCTAGGGAAGTTGTGGAATCTTCATCACTGGGGATTTTTAAGAGCAGGTTAGACAAACACCTGTCAGGGATGGTTTAGATAATACTTAGTCCTGCCATGAGTGCAGGGTACTGGACTAGATGACCTCTCGGGGTCCCTTCCAGTCCTATGATTCTATAGTAGAGCCATATTTGTTATAAGACTAAGTTATGTGGGCACAGATGCGGAGACTAAGATGGATTCAGAAAATAATAATGCAACATTTGAAGGTAGAGGAGCGTAAAATGAAACCGTAAGGGTCCTGCAATTCCCGGTGACAGATCACCAAGGGGGATTCACCCTAGAGGATACGTAGATGATGGTACTTCCACCCCCTTCCCTTGGGGGTTTCAGTGAAGGGAAAGTTAAAAATTATGTCTGGGGCTCTGATGCTGGATGCTGCTGAGGGGATGCCCTGAGCAGAGCTGTTCGCAATTTTTGACTATTTTTTTAATCAAAAATGCAGCAGCATTAAAATCAAAATGTTTTTTTGAAAACCTATCCGTATGGATGAAACGTTTGATTTTTGTCTGGAAAAAGGAATTTCAGAGCCTGGTGACTGTGTTAGCTTTTGTTTCTGGCGGGTTTTTAAATTGAAATTTTTAACAGAAACAAAATGGGATTTTTTTTTACCACTTCTAGTGTTCGGTCAGGGCATTCCCCAGCTGCAGTAGCCAAGGCCCCTCACCTGCTCCCTTTTGTGGACATTATTCCACCACAGCCCCTCCCCCCCCCCCACCTTCCTTCTCCCCGCCTGCATGGATCTGTGAGCTAAATCGAGCCTCAGGGCTGCAAGGAGCAATATGGCAAAGACACCTGCCTTACCCTCGCTCAGTAAGAGAACAAATCAGCTCTTCCTTCACATGTAGCCTGATTCTGAGAGGTGCTGAGTACATGAAGTCAATGGGAGTTGAAGGTGCTCAGTACCCCTTAGGCCTGAGATCTGGCCAGCCAAGTACAGGCATTCAAGGATCTGTTTCCCTTGCAGTTTTTGATAATGACAAATGCTGAAAGCTGTTTACTTAAGCCTCTCATTAACTGTTGCTGGCAAAGGCATGCTCAGGCACGCAAGGGAGTCTGTGCCCACAAAATCTGGGCTTGGGGCAATAGACAAAGTGGGAATGCTGCCTCCATGGCATATTGCCCCACTACTAATCATGACCCTGCAAAGTCCCCTCTCCACAGAGGTTCTACAGTATTCCAGCTCTGCAGGTTTGGGAGGAGTGAGGCAACGGGGCCAGCGGGTCAGACTCTCCCTGTCGTATTAGGAGAACTACGGCATAGCTAATAGCATTCTCCCCATAAGCCAGGATTGCTTTTCACTTCTCTTTTTCTTCTCTTCCCAGATAAACTTTGTTCTTTTCATTGGCATAATCGTTATCCTTGTGCAGAAACTCCAGTCGCCTGATATTGGGGGCAACGAATCCAGCATTTACTTGTAAGTACAATAGCTGTCAAATAATCACTAATTAATTCAGATCTCTAATATACACATAGGAAAAACACGCTCAATAGAACTCAATTGACTTTTTTGCCTGTGTCATAGAGTCTATTAATGATTTTTTTTTAATCCAACGGCCACTAAAATACTTTTTTTAGTGCCACCTTTGATCTCTCTTTAAAGCTCTTAGAAAATAATTGTAAATGCTGTATATGTTTTAAAAAATGATTATGCACAGATCAGTTATTTGAAAATTAACATACTGTCCAGGCTTTGAGGATTGTTATATCTATGGAACAGTTTGCTGGGCTTCATATGTTCCAAGGACCTGATCCAGAGTCCACTGAATTCAATGAGAGTCGTTCTGTTAACTTCAGTGGACTTTATCAGAGATTCTAAGTTATGAAGTCCTTGTAAAGTTACATATATTCCCCTTTTTGGATGGTAATTTTGAATCCATTCAACATAAACTAAACAATCATTATTGCTCTTTAAACTGCTTCAGAGCTCACAACTAATCTTAAATGTTTCCATGTGAGTTTTTAAATCGGAACTTGTTTTCATTTTGCCCTTTTATTTTTTTTTTTTCCAAAACATATGTCCTGTCCATTAGCTCCTACTTCTTCCTCCTCCTAGAGAGTCGTTGTCAGCACTGATTTGGCTGTAAATCCCCATCTCCGGTTTGTGTCTCCCATTAGAATTATTTTTGTTTTTCTTTTAAATACTTACGGAATGTTGAAAAGAAAAAAAAATAGCTACAAAATGCCTGGTGCTTCCCCTGGTTTCCTGCCTAAGGACTAAGCAGGTTTCCCTTGCACCTTTCCAAAGTCCACGCATTTTGTGCAAGCTAAAACCCTGATTATTAGTCTTTGCTTAGCACTGAAAAATCCAATTTAACAGGTTACAGGAGGAGATTTCTTAACATTTAGGATTATGTTTAAAATTTCGATCTAATGCCTCCACTGTACCTTACAGCCCAGTCCAAAAGTCCTTACTTACGCAAAAATCCCATTGAGGTCTGTGGTGTAGTAAGCAGTTCATTTCGTCACTGTTAAGTCCTGGATGGAGCGTAGAGAGATCCTGTGTAGTGACCACGTTTAAGCTAATTTAGAAGATAGAACTTCAGGATCTTTGTCTCTGTTCAGCATCCTAAAAAATTCTCTTTGCATTCATTGCTATGGAGGCTTGTGTCTATGACAAAACACTGCAACATCAATATTTGCCTAAGTAAGCATTGCAGGTCTGGTCACTACAGGAACCCATAGTTCATTGTGTGACTGATGGATGAAAATCATTTTTTTCTCCTCTCCTATCCTCCAGTTTATGTTTGCATGAAATGGTGGCACTTCTGTAGATCACGGTCTCCTTTTGGTCTTCCCTAAATGGAACATCCATTTAATGAAGGTGTTTCACTCAAAGCTGTAAGCTTTATATCCACAGACCTAAAGAATGCTCTAAATACATTCTGCAGATACACACTGCTGAGACTTACAACTCAGAAGAAACTGTAGTGGCTAGGTTAGCCCGCTTACCCACATGGTTTGCCCAATCCAGTGCATGAAGACTTTCCATGTAATTGCTTGCAGGAAATCCCCACTGCATCTTAAATGGCAATCTAGATGTGCAGAGCCATCTCTTCCTGTGAATAGCTAAGTGCATGTTTGCTGCACAGCTATTACATATGAGGCAAAGCATGCCATAAATTCAAATGATTAGAGTAGGCTATGAAGCATCCTTGCCATTTTTTAGTCAATATGGTTACTGGGTTTCACTGATATTTTTCCTATGTGTATAGTTGGCAACCAGAACAAGAAAACATCATATTTTCTGTTTCATTCGCTGCCATTATTTTTTTCATATTTGTTTGCAACTGTATAAATGGACATGTGTAAATATATCCTTCATTTATGTACGTGTTATGAAGTGGAGTGTTGTTTATCCAAACAGATTTAACAGTAGCAAATGTATCTAGAAGTAAGGCAAGAAATAAAAAAATATATGCATAGATATTCACAGGCAGATATAGTATATATGCACACATACTGTATACAATTCTGTTGTTACATCAGAGGTATGGTTATGTCACCATATTAAAACTTCCATGGAATTTAACCTAGAGCCCATAATGAATATCTGCCCTGCCCTATTCTGTTATCTCAGACTAACAAATGTTTAGTTTGCCCATTTCTTTAACCAGACAAAAAATGAAACACTTCCACCCATTTCTGCAGTACTCTGGACACACCTCATATCAACAAACATGCTCAAAGCAGTTTTGGGGGGATTTATCTTTTTGTTCTAATGTACCATTTTGAAAAAAACACTGTGGAATTCAGTACTGTCAGGCTAAATGAGAATGAAAGACAAGGCAGCTTATTCTGTATCCCAGCTGTGAATCCATAGACATGATTCACGTGGGAGAAAAAATAAATGTTCGTATTGTTGAATACTGGTTGGAAAAAACAGTTTGGGTGAAATCCTGGCCCACTGACCTCAATAGGAGTTTTGGTATAGGGTCAAGAACTGGGGCCAGAATTTCATCCTTTATTATAAAAATGAGACAAGCCGTCAAAATTCCCACTCAGACAGTCCCATTTGGGTCAACTCAGTACTCAAGCCCCATTCAGCAAAGCACTTAAGCACACGTTAACTTGTTCAGCAAAGGAGTTAACCATGTGGCTGAGTCCCATTGACTTCAATGGGGTATAAGCACACGCTTAAAATTAAGCACCTGCTCAAATGTTTTGTTGAATCTGGGCATTAATAAACTGGAGGTTCACAAGTATATCTATGGGCAGAATTTGGGTCATTCAGTTCAGTGGAACTACTTATGTTACTGCTATTGCTCATGTGAATAGGGTGAACAAGATGTAGCCTCTTTACATTACCCTAAAAAGACCACTGTGAATATGTTGATACACACACACACACACACACACAGAGGCAGAGAGAGAGAGAAAGAAATGTCATACAGTACTTTAGGATAAGTTAATTCATACACTTCCATATTAAAGACTATGTGTATCTTTTTTGTAAAGACAAATACTCTTTTCACCCATATGGGACAAAAAAAATTGTATCCATACATTATATCCATACATTAGGATAATTTTATATGTTGGATTTACTTGAGATGATACAGTATATGACCCAAATATAAATTAATATGTAAATGGTTCCTTATATATTAAAGTCCATACACATGAAATATGATATACTATCTGTGTATATGAAACACACATGCCCTTTCCATATGGGTAAACTTGCCTGTAACTCAAGAAGAATTCTAAAAAGCTTGTTACTAGCTTTGAGAGGAAATGAGAGGAAATGTTATATTCCTATTATCTATATTGTATCTTCACACATGAGGGTCATTTTATCAACTAGCTTATGAGTTTGCTGTTTCATAGACACTATGGGATAGACTCACAAAAGGACGTAGGTGCCTAAATCTGAGAATCAGACTCCATTGGGGTTCAAAAACCTTCTGTTCAACTGCCGCCTGTAGGTGCCTAAAAGTCTAAAATTGCTCAGCATCTAAATTTTTGCAATAGATATTCCTTAGGCGCCTATGTTTCTGCCTCTGAGCATGCACACTGCAGCCTTGTGCCAGTCATCCAGACACCTAAGCCCCAGTGTGATTCATGAACTGGGAAAGATAGATAGGTGTTTCTTCGCCTAACTTACCTGTGGGGCCCAATCCAGTAAGGGGACCTACAGAGGAGTGGAGGGAGAAGCATAAGGACCTCTGTCGTAACTTTAGCACAGTAGTTAGAGCACTTACCTGGGCTGTTGGAGACACCCAATTCAAGTCCCCCCACCACATGATTTGGAGAAGGGTTTCAACAGGCATCTGCCACCTCTCAGTTGGATGCCCTATTCACTGGGCTGTGGGGTGTTTTGATGCAGGGCTCTCTCAGTCTCTCCTGTCAAAGCTGTTCCATTGTGGATACGTAATTACAGAAAGGTATTGGTATAGGATCCTGGGTCTCCCAGCTCCTGGGTGAGTGCACCAACCACAAGGCTATGGACTCATTCTCATTCTTTTGCTGGCTCTCTCTCTTTGGCCCAGTGATCCTTTCCTTATTTATCCCCAATGGAACAGCTTCCAAAGGAGAGACTGAGGGAGCTCCACATCAGAATATCCTATAGCCCAGTGACTGGGTCGCTCACCTGAGATGGTAGATCCCTATTTCTCCCTCAGGTGGAAGGGGAACTTGAACCCACATCCCAGGTGAGTGCTCTAACCACTGGACTAAAAGTTATAACTAGGGCTGTTGATTAATCTCAGTTAACTCATGCGATTAACTCAAACAAATTAATCTTGATTAATTGCACTGTTAAACAATAGAATACCAAGTGAAATTTATTAAATATTTTGGGACGTTTTTCTACATTTTCAAATATATTGATTTCAGTTACAGCACTGAATACAAAGTGTACAGTGCTCACTTCATATTATTATTATTTATTATTATTACAAATATTTGCACTGTAAAATGATAAAGAAATAGTATTTTTCAATTCACCTTATACAAGTACTGTAGTGCAATCTCTTTATTGTGAAAGTGCAACTTACAAATGTAGATTTATTTTTGTTACATAACTGCACTCAAAAAACAAAACAATGTAAAACTTTAGAGCCTACAGGTCCACTCAGTCCTACTTCTTGTTCAGCCAATCGCTAAGACAAACAGGTTGGTTTACACTTACGGGACATAATCTGCCCACTTCTTATTTACAATGGCACCTGAAAGTGAGAACAGGCATTCACATGGCACTTTTGTAGCCGGCATTGCAAGGTATTTACATGCCAGATATGCTAAACATATGAATCTTGGTAAATATTATGGTAATCAGTCTCCTGGGAGTGACTCCTTTAGTGGGCCAGGCCCTAAGGATCCACAAAGTTCACAGCAGCAGGCCCCTGGCCTCCAAGCCTGGCCTGTCAGCACCAGAGATTCCTGTCTCTCTCTGTGGCTGCCTGCAGCGAATCCAGCAAGGCCATATTTCTGTGGGAGGCTTGAACTGGGTCCCTCTAAGCCACAATGCTCTCAGGGAGTATTTACAATGATGTAGGCAGCCTTTTCAAAGCAATGTAACCATTTACTAGTCACCTGGCACACAGAATTTGAAAGTCCTTTGGTTACCATAGAGAAATGAAGGTTAAAGAATAGTCCATGCTGGTTAGCCCAGACCCCCAGCCAAGCTGTAATGAACCCCATGTTCGGGTTCTGCCTCTCTCACTGTCAATCTGACCCCCTTAGTGAGAAAGCCCAGAATTCTCTCCCAGGTGAGAAAGCCCAGAATTCCTTCCAGAAGCCAATCCTTTATCCCCCAACCACATACCTTCCAGTCCTTTGCTCTCAAGCTGGGATATTTGCTCAGCTTCCCTGCTGAGAAGTGGGGAAATTCCATCTCCCTCTGGGTTCTTGGTTGCTAGGTGTCAATGTTCTGGTGATTGGGTTCTTCATTGTCTTGGATTTTCGACAGATGTGGGTTGGCTTCAGACAGTCTTTTTTAATGACACATTCAGACTCCGGTAGCTAGGCAATGTGCATTGCTATGTCTCTTAGCCTGCCCTGAGAGCAAAGTTGGTCATTCCCCCCCCCCCCCAGTGGGTAGCTATGCAAAATATAGGGGAAACTGAGGCACACATAGGCTTCATAAGGACATTACAGCAAATTCTCATTTTATCACAGTGGCTAACCCCAGGAGAGCATTTGCAGCTGAGAATCAGAAGCAGAGGGAAGTGCCTCCCTGCTTTCCGGATTTAAGCACGTACCCCCAAAAGAGGGCTGGCTTGGCACCTTCCAGTGTATGGCTACACTGCACACTACACCTAAGCTCTGACACAAGTTTGTGCACAAACCCCCCCTTCCATTCACACAGAAAACAGTCTGATTCAGATCATCAGGCACTCAGGATCAGGTTCCTCGGACCCTACTGAGGGGACGGTCAGAGCCTGAGCACCACTGGGACTTGGGTTCAAGTGCTGCCATTTTGCAGTGTGGATGCAGCTCAAACCACAGACCCATGTGAGAAGGTCTGCATAGTGCAGTGTGGATGTATTAGCACATCTGTGAGGCCCGGGTCCAGCCATTGTAAGCCCAGGTCTACAATGCAGTGTGGATGCTCAAGTGCGTGCTGGGTAACTCTGAGCCTACAAGCCTGGGTCCCACAGACCCTGGTTTACAATGCAGTTTAGGCATAGCCCCAGTGGCTAGCTTAGGCGAGTGCTGGATTTTCTGAAGCCCATTCTGGGACACCTGTCTGTCCCCATTCGTTGTATGCCTAACCCAGGCTTTGTGAATCCCAGTGACTTTTTAGGCACCTAAAAGTGAGGCATGGTGACACTCAGCATCACTACCTGTAACTTTCTTTGCAACTCTAGCCCTGTGGCCCTGATTCTACCAAACACTTAAGCACATCCTTGACTTTATGGACTTTAAGCATGTGCTTAAGTGCTTTCCTGAATTGGGTCTCAGGGGCCTAGTTTCCCATTGCCTTGGGGCCTGGTGCAGTCATTTCTACCTGTGCAACAGTGGGCCAAATTCTCTGCTGGCATAACTCCATTCAGTGGTGCTCTTAACAATCTGGGTTATCAGGTTTCCCAGACTCATCCTAGAAATATTTAACAATAAATTCATTTATTTTCTCTGCTTAGCTCATATGTATATTGGGTGGCCTAATTCTTCATTCTTTGGGTACCCCAATGAAGTTAATGGGAGTTCAGAGTGCACCCAAAATGCACGGTCTAGTACCTGAATAGCAACCACCAGTAAATAGTTACCAGTATGGTTCATACATCATACGAACTAGTTTCACTAACGTGCCAGAAAGTCGTATGTATCTCTGTTCACATCTATCTAGCTATAAAATGATGTCACACTGCATTCATCTATAACTGCCCTGTAAGGGCCTCTTTGTTGGATGCATAGTGCATTATAGAGGAACTACATTGCAATAGTACTGATGCTAAAGTCAATGTAGCGTAGCCACCATATATTGTGGGACTTGCTTCATGCACATTAAAATGTATTCAGCACCGCAAATATGAGTGATTATCATCAAAATTAGATGTTCACTCTAAATAACCTCCCCAAAGATCATTATAAGTAATTTCCTGTGTTTTCAAGTTGAAAAGAAAGGTTAGAAACATTTAGCTAATTCCCCGTGTTCTTGATTTTGTTTCTGCAGACCAGTTAAATGCTTCAGCGCGTGTGATATCTCCAGTTTTATCCATTTGTACATCCACCCATTCATGACCAGCCTTGTGCAATTTGTCATCCTCCATTTGGTTCGGGCTCAACATTACCTGCATGCTGCTCGTTCCATTTTAGATTGAGTTGCTCTAACTGTGACAGACCTGGACAGAACAAACAACGACTCAGTGTTTATTTTAATGATGCTTAAAACCCAAAGTTCTCCTTCCATTTTACTTAAGTGAAGGCTGGATTCATGAAAAAATATCTCAGCCATTGAGAGGGGTGCTGATTTCATTGTCAATGCCCTTTAAAATTTCAGGACTCTTTTTTTTCAGAGTTCTCTCTTTGTTTTGCTAGCTTATTAGAACATATTTTTCCGTAAATATCATCACTTGTTAATCATCCTTACTTTCTACTGGCAGGAGCGAGCAGTCAAAGGCAAACATACGGAAAGTTCAGGCCTGTGGTCCTTGGGCCATGTTCTGCTTTCTGTTATTCTGGTGTCAGTCCTCAGTAGTTCCACAGACTTCACTAGAGTTGCTCTGGATTTGATACCAATGTAAATTAAATCAGGATTGAACCCGGTTGGAGTTTTGAGAACCTCAGATAAAAGGTCTTCTAAAAGGGTGAAGTGTTGATTATGTATTAACATTCATAATTGTATGTATTATTTCTTTTTGATTACTGCCTCTGTAGCACACAGGAGTGAGCTGATATCCCCTTCTAGTGGCTGAACTATGTAAAAATGATGGTCTCTTAGTGCCCCCAAGCTAAAGCAGCTGGTTTTATAGCTCAGGCAACAGCGACTTCGGCTTTTATATCCAGTGACCCAGGTAGCATTACAACAGATGACCCATCCAGGGCCATTGTTGCATCCATATATTGAAAGCCATGTACCAAATCCTAAATGGGCAACTAAATTCTGACTATACCCCGGGTTGTGAGTTCAATCCCTGAGAGGGCCATTTAGGGATCTGGGGCAAAAATTGGGGATTGGTCCTGCTTTGACCAGGGGGTTGGACTAGACGACCTCCTGAGGTCCCTTCCAACCCTGATATTCTATGATTCTAACTCTCCTTTTGCGGACTAGAGACAAGTTTCTACTATTTAGATCCCTGCTTTGACTGGCACAATCCATGGCAGATCAGTTGGTACCTGCACCATTCATATATTTTTTCATGAATCAGCTGTGGAACCGGAAGCCAAGAAATGCTTAACATGCTGAACAGCCAAGGTTTTGTCATCCATCGCATGGCAAACACAAATAATATGGTGAAGATAGGGGGCCAGATTCTGCACTCAGTTGCTCAGGTATAATTGAGCGCAGAATTGTCTCTAGAGTTCTAGAGATAGTAAATAAACCTGCAGTGCAGAAATAATTACACTGAGGTGTCTAACTAAAATTTACTTTACTGTATGCATGACCAAAGTTACTGTTAATGAGAGGTTTATTTATATACAAAATGGAATGTAATTATATCAGTATGATAGGTTAAAAAAACCCAGGAGATGCATGAATCACTCATGTGCTGGGTTGAGCCATAAGACTAAAATAGCGCAAGCATTTCCATTCAGCTTTTTGCTTGCTCACTCACTGCAAAGGGCTAAAGCACATTGGATTGACATATATATATTTTTTTGGTTCATGGATGCATAGTATAATTTTTTTGGTTTGTTTCTGCTTTTGCTTTTTTTAACCTGCTGTTCATCCTGACTTTTGTATCATGCCTGTTGAAAACTCAAAAGAAAAAAATAAAACCACACATCTATCTAGCTAATTCAGGTCTACGTCATTCCTCCAATCAGCATCTTGCTGGAAAGAAAGGAGAAACATGGCATATACCATAGGTAGGTATGATTTTACATATGGTCCAATCTAAAGGGCTTAGGTTAGCAGAATCAGTGTCTGAAAGCAAGTGTTTTGGTAAACAACACTCCTCTGCAATTCACTGACAAAGTCACTGGAAATTCAATGACTCATTTTGCTACTGCTTTGTCTTGCTGCAAGTACTCAAATTAACAGTGCCAGTTATTTCCAACAGGATCTTCCTGGCATAAACCCCATTTATAACAGAAAACTGCAGCTCCTTTGCTAAGTGGTCTGTCCATGGGCACGGCGCTTTAATTGCTTAAACGCGGACATTGAGGGGGTGGAACTCCCACTAACACCAGGAACTCCGGGGTCTCTTAAGCAAAGGTTTATCCATCCCAACACTAGGAAAAGATTATGGAAACAATGATCATTGATTACTTGTCGGCACATGAGACAGTGGGGTCCTAGTTCTAATTTCTAGAACAGCCAATAAGTATGTTGAAAATTATTGCTTTGACTATTTTTGTAAAGACTAAATCTTACCAAAGTTGCCTAGTGTTCAAGGGTAAAATGCCGCCTTCACAAATATTGTGCTTTTCCTTTGCATCCCCCAAGACAAATTCCCATCCTCTAGCCTAGTTTTAATTTGGGCTGTATCTGTTTTAAACAGCATTAAACAGACAATTGTCTGTACCGCCGTGGAAATTTAAGGTTATATAACTAAGTATCACACTAGGAGTAATTAAGGTGAACCCCCCACACTCCAAAACTATTTGCAGAAAGCAGTGGAAGGCTCTGGCCTGTCATTGAGCTATCTGTGTATGATACTTAGATGGTCCCATTACTATAGTATCTGAAGCCTCACAATCTATAATGTGTTTATCCCCACAGCACTCCTATGATCTATATCCCCATTTAGCATATGAGGAACTGAAAGACTAAGTGTCTTGCTCAAGGTCACACAGGGATCCTCTGTTATAGCAGAAAATGGAACTGAGGTTTCCTGAGTCCCAGGTTAGCACCCTAACCACCCATCCATCCTTCTTCTGTACATATCCTGCTTGCATTATTTTAATAGTGATGGGAGGAGCAGGCCTAAAGCCACATCCAGCTTGGATTTGGTTTTGCCATTTTATCGGTGACTTCCCAGTGCAGCATTTCATATGAGGGACTACAAGATTTGTAGTTTTCAGGGAGGTCAGTTTAAAGAAAATCCCATTAATTTCCAGTGAAACACGAACACTTTACTGTGGCTACATACTACGCTGGTATCCTCTGATTTTGATACTGTAAATCACAGCAGCACAACTCACATGTTTGTAGTTACAAGGTCACCTGCAATGCATGAAATTTTAAAATACTTTTCTGCTTGGGATTTTTTGCATAATTAGAGTCATGCCTTTTAGAACTCACTCAGCACAGGTGATAGCCGTAGCATGTAGGCCAATTGGACTTTGTTTCCTATTTTGAAGTAACAAGTGTTTGTTTTTTTTTCTCTAAACATTGCTACATGTGCACCCTGCTCCAATGTATTTGTACCAACAGTTCCATGGTTTTGGCATGTGGCTGAGAGAGGAAGAGGTACAATCACCAGGCAGGCTTTGTTGTGAATGTGTTGGCTATTTTTGAAATCTTTATGGGCTGCAGAATTAAGAGAGCCCTGATGATGTCCCAGTCGATTCCACTTGAAACCATTACATTCTGTTGGGTCATTTGATACTTCCCTAATTGTTGATTAGCCCAGTCCTGTCAATATCCCACAGGTTTCTGAGATGGTATTCTGAGATGTGGATTTATGAGCTTCCCCAGGCACTCGCTGTCCCACCTTTGCCAGTGCTAGTATGTCAAACCATGTACTGAAGAACACAATGGCTAGGATAAAATGGCCATTCTTGGATTTTTTTTTGGGTGGGGAGAAGGAGGGATTTTGAGTTTTGTTTTTCAGCTTGATCCCCACTCCTTTTTTCTTGGAGTCACTTGCTTAAGGGGGCTGAATTAATCTGGTCTTCATGCTGCAGTTGTTCGCTGACTGCAGATAATGGGGAATAATTCTGACATCTCTTGATCTATGATGTGCTTTTAATTTCTTTCCAAGCTTCAGGCACACCATGCTATTCCGTCGAACTTCTGTCGCCATTCGCATTTAGGCTTCTATCACATGGCAAACAAAAACGGCGTTAATTGCCAATAATGGCTCTTCTTTTTTCTTATCCTTGATTTCTTGTGCCCTTTGTTTTGCAATTGACGCTCTTCATGTCAAGTGTCTTAAGGATTCTTGATAGGCGCGCTGGACAAGCGTGCAAGCACTTCATGATGTATGGCTGTGTTGAGTAAGAAGATGCAGCTGTGGTGTAGAAAGGTGTTGGTGAACCTGTCTCTCATGAGACTAACTTATCTAGAACATAAGAACGGCCATACTGTGTCAGACCAATGGTCCATCTAGCCCAGTATCCTGTCTTCCGATAGTGGCCAATGCCAGGTTCCCCAGAGGGAATGAACAGAACAGGTCATCATCTAACTGTGTGCATGAAAGGAACTGCGCGCTGGTGATTATGCAGTTAGTTAAATTCTCTGGGCCAGATTCTTCCCCCACTTAGGGAACCTGCACATTGCAAATCACATAAGTAGTTCCACTGAAGTAAACAGGACAGTTCATATGAATAAGAGGCTGCCGTTTCAGGCCTGTACACTCCATGCAGCAGCCCATTGGGTCACATCTCCTCATTTCCACCTGAGTAACGCCATTGACAGTACTGGTTTGAAGAGGTGTAGCAAAGATCACTTCGCCCATTGACTGCAGTGGGGTTTCACTAAGCATAGACAAGCATAGAATTTGACCTTGTGCTTATGTCTCAGTCAATCTGATCATTATTACTAAAGCATATTAAGGTTGATTCTCTCATTTACACCATTATAAATCAGGAATAACTCCGTTTAAGTCGATGGAGTTACGCCAGGGTACAACCAGTGTGAATGAAAGGATAATTGAGCCCACAGAGCCTGCCCTTAGCCTGTGTAAATTTGGCACAGCTGCATCGAAGTCAATGGAGTTCTGCCAGTTTAAACCAGCTCTCCATCCGGCCCTCAGTGTCAAATGTTCACATACGCTCTAAGCTTCCCACTGTACATTTTGTGCTTTTATTAATGGGAGTTTGTGCACACCGATCTAAAAATGCAAAATCTTGTTGGCATGCGCAAATGCTTGATTTTGTGAGAATGCAAATTTGATAGTCCACATTTCCAGGGCCCCTTAGAAAATGCAGCCATTAGTGTTAGACTTTCAGCTTATGCTGATTTGGGGCATTAAATGCTATGTTTAAAAAAATGGGAGTGACTCATTAATTAATTGGTCTTCAGTGGGTGGATTTGGGCCTGAGTGCTCTGCACATCCGGTCAGTACTCCTTTCTGTAATTGCATTCAAACACACATAGGCTTCGCTCAGGCTTTGTCTAGTACAGTATGTTTTCCACATTAGATCCATTACTATCATGTCCTCTGTAGTTATGTCAGTGCATTTATAACAGAATCACTCCATTATACATGACAATGTACAACATCCCTTTGGATCACTGAAAACAATTCACTTGATTAAAATAGGATCACAGGAAGTCATATAAAGGAAGCTCGAAATGATATAACTTTGAAACTATAGCACATTTAGTAAAGAAGATTCTAGGCTTAAGTGTCCCCTTGCTGCTTCTTTCTGCTCCCGGCCTTTCTGTCCAAGCAAGGGCTACCCTACGATATGCTCTCCCTTCCGCTGCTTGATCTCCGAGTGAGGCCCACTGCCTTCCTCAGGGCTGCCTGCCTACCCTATTGATATGGACAACACCAAAGATGATTCCAGGGTATGGTTTATTGTTGACCAGGGGTGGTTTGGACCCAAATCTCATTTCATCCCAGCTGAGTGGGATTTAGGACTTCCAGACAAATGGTTTCAGTATGAGCCCATCTGCAAAAACAGAGAAACATGAGAGCTTCCTTACTAAGTCATACCATGGTCCATCTTGCCCAGTATCCTGTCTCCAACAGTCACCCATACCAGAACTTCAGGAGGAGTGTACAGAACAGGACAATTATGGAGTGATCCATCCCCATTTCCACTCCTGCCTTTTTGTAGTCAGAGGCTCACAATTGCTCCAAATATCGGGTTGCATCCCTGACCATCTGGGCTAATAGCAATCAATAGGCCTATCCTCCATGAACTGCTTTTTGAACCCAGTTATATTTTTGGCCATAACAATGTCCCTTGGTGACAAGTTCCACAGGTTAGGTGTGCATTGTGTGAAAAAGTACTTCCTCTTGTTTGTTTTAAACCTGCTGCCTATTAATTTTGTCAGGTGACCTTGGTTTTTGTATTGTGTGAAAGGGCAAACAGCACTTCCCTATACACTCTTTCCACACCAGTCATGATTTTATAGACCTCTGTCATATCCCCCCTTAGTCATCCCTTTTCTAAGATGAACAGTCCTAATCTTTTTAGTCTCTTCTCATACGGAAGCCGTTCCATACCCTTGACCATCTTTTTGCCCTTCTATGAAGCTTTTCCAGTTCCACTTTATCCTTTTTGCGATGGGGCAACCAGAACTGGACACAGTATTCAGGGTGTGGGTGTATCATAGATTTATATAGTGGCATCATGACATTTTCTGTCTTATTTATATCCCTTTCCTAATAGTTCCTAACCTTTTGTTGGCCTCTTTGACCTCTGCTGCGCTTTGAGTAAAAATATTCAGAGAACTATCCACAGTGACTCCAAGATCATTGTTTGGGGTGGTAACAATTACATTAGAACCAATTATTGTATATGTGTAGTTGGGATTATGTTTTCCCATGTGTATTACTTTGCACTTATCAAGTTGAATTTCATCTGCCCAGTCACTCAGTTTTGTGAGATCCCTCTGTAATCCTCACAGTCTGCTTTGGACTTAGCTATCTTGAATAGTTTTGTATCATCTGCAAACTGACACTTCACTGTTCACATCTTTTCCAGATCATTAACAAATATGTGGAACAGCACAGACCCCGGTACAG